TTTTTTTTTTGCATTATTATTAGTTGGACTTCCAAGTTATTCTTGTATTGTTAATTAGGGGATGTTATGTTGATCTGATTGTTTTCTTTGAGATAAATATTTTTGTTAATTATGCACTAACTTGTTGTGTCAACATGGCGGTGATGTGGGTATAATTCTATTGGTGTTTTTATCAGAAGTGGGTGATGTGCCAGTTGTACCTTATCAGCTCTATTTGAGATCCTACTCTGGTTTTTGGTTGGTGTCTTTAGATCAGGTTTTGTTAGTCGGTTAGTATTAACTTATTAAGTGCCTGTTGACCACATTTTCATCTGAATTTTTGAGTTTGGACCAATTAAATCCCTGGAGATAGCCTTTTTCCAGTTTCTGGAGATAAGGTTGTGTGCACTTCTTCTACCTAGTAAGATTATTCTAAATCAGACCACCCATTTTTTTTATTGTGTTGATAATTTAGGGTTGTATGTATCAAAAAGTGGAAATACTTGATAGAGTGATCTTGTGAAGATAGCTTTTAGTTTTTACAGTCAACAAACTTTTAGTATTTTTCTTCCTCTTTGAATCCCCCTTATATTTGAAGGGAAGGCAAAAATGGGCGTGAAGGGATTATGCCACCCTTAAGTTAGAAGTCCCAAATTCAGTAGGATAAATTACTTGAATGGTTCTTAAGCCTTGAGATTTTCATATGTAATAGATTGGTCTTTTGGGTTAAACTTTCTTATGCTTAAGTCCTAACAAACTGTATTACATTAAGAGTTGGGTTATGGAATGAGCTACATTGTGGTCCAAATTGAATACCGATAGGTGACAATGTAAGGGGTCCTACATTGAATAAGATAAACTACTTGATGTGGTACTGAAGACTTGAGGTTCCCCCACCTAATAAACTAATTTTTTGGATTGAGTTTTCCTCTTGTACTCAAGTCCTAAGAATTTTTCTTCCCATCCCTTCCGTTTTCAGCTAACCAAACACTATATTACGGTTACAAATAATATTCTTAGTGGTGTGGGTTTATATTTTCTCTGCATTTACAATTTTATAAATTGTGTTTACTATATACTTATGTGTTGTTGGTTTTAAGCGAAATTCAAAATTTGTCTTCTTTTCTTAGGTTTGATCTGAAGTCCAGGATTGCTACTTAGGTTACCAAGTTTGCATCTGCATAACTGAGAAGAGAACAGTAAGGAACATTCAATAGACTAATGCAAACACACTTCTGATTATTTCTATGACGTTAATCTTCTGTTTTGGTTTCAGATTTTGTGATACTGAAGTCTAAAGTGTGCAACATATGGTAGTGCGCATGGAAGATGTTCTGTTGGATACCAGTTGGGAAGATGTAATCTGCCCTATATGCTTGGAAGTTCCTCATAATAGTGTGCTCCTTCAGTGTTCATCTTATGATAAGGGGTGCCGTGCTTTTGTATGTGACACAAGTCAATTGCACTCAAATTGTTTAGATCGTTTTAAAAGAACACAAATGTCCGATGCAAATTCCGTGGCAAATAGTGACTCAGTGGTATCTGATTGTCAATACAATTTAAGTTGTCCCTTGTGCAGAGGTGATGTTTCTGGATGGATTATAGTTGATAAAGCTCGTGTGCATCTTGATGAAAAGAAGCGTTGTTGTGATGAGCAGCAATGTGCATTTGTTGGAAGTTACTCCGAGCTGCAGAAACATGCTCAGCTGGAACACCCTTATGGTTGTCCATCAAAAATTGATCCTGCCAGGCAGCTTGATTGGGAAAATTTTCAGCAGTCATCCGAGATTGTAGATGTTTTGAGCACTATTCATTCAGAAGTTCCACGTGGAGTGGTTTTAGGAGATTATGTGATTGAATATGGGGATGATGATAGTGCAGATGATTTTGAGGACTTCCCTGGAGATGAAGGTAACTGGTGGACCTCTTGTATTTTGTATAATGCCTTCAATAACTTTAGAAGTTCTAGAAACCGAAGAAGGGCAAGAGCTGGTGATCCTAGTAGGGGTAATCGCCCTTTAAGCTCTGATACTTCAAATTCTGATGAAGGTTCTGTAGCATCTGTAGATTATGGCGAGTATAGGCTAGAAGAGATTGATGATGATTTTGTTAGTTCAATTGGCCCTTTGAGGGGTGGCAATGGTTTTCGCAGGTGGGTAGTATTTTTCCTTATTTTTGTTTTCAGTTTTGACATTTCTTTGCTTTTCTTTCTGTTTAACATTTATGAGATTAAAATGAATTTATGTGAATCTTGCTTCTCAAACATCCCAAGCAAATGACTTTCTTCCTTTGCCTTTTGTATTCAAAATCACCATGGTATCCCTATCCATCTTCAGCTACCTAGAATAGTATTCTTGACAGAGTCTGTATTTAGACCTTTAAATGTCAATAATCTGATTTAACATCTACAGATGATAAATTATAAAGTATTACACATAACTGTAAAGCATACTAACGTGGAAAATAAAACATGATCTCAATCATTTATTAATTATTAGCAATCTGGTATGTGTTGTTGTCATAATTGTGCATTTCATAATACCCATTTTTTGTTATTAGGTAGTTAAGTACTTTCTATCCTATTGTGTTTTTCATACTGTCTTTTCTTTTTCATACATGGTATTTAAAACTATCTAATTTGCAGATCACGGAGACGACATTCTCGTTCCAATGACAACTAGGTATGTCATGTATGCTAGTAACTTTCATTGTCCTTTCTGTTATTGTGGTACAAAGTTTGTGACAACCTTATACTGAGTGCTGATAGTATATTTGTCTGTTTTGCTTGAAGTATGAGAGGTTTGGGTGGTGAGACACTGGTATTTTAAGCTCTTTTAGTTTCATTCCCTTAAACGTACTTAATGATTTTTTCAGTATTCAAGCAGATACACTCAACATGAAACCAGTGAGATCTTGATGTAGCTCTGCTGTGACTACTCACAAAGGTTACATTATGGTAATCTTATGCATTTGCGATGAGATAAATTGAAGCGACTACATAACAAAATTAACCATTTAGTTTATTTACTCACCAAAGTGATTCTGCCAGCATTTGCTGTGTTTATTAACTGTAGCAAAATCAATTATTTCTTTCGCTTGTACATAAAACTGCTTAGTTGTGATGTGTTAGAATGACTTTTGAGCAGGGATGTTTCCATGTTACTTAAAAATACTATGTATTTTGCTTCTCTCATTTGTGACCACGTGAACCTTGAAAGTACTTTAGGGTCATGTGGATGAGATTTGAAAATAACAACCTATGCTTTTGTCTGAAACGGCCTTTTAGAAAGTTAAAACTATTTTATGTTTGTTAAATCTGTAAAGCATTTTCTTTTTTCTTTTATAATTTGAATCATTTTTCATTCTTGTTTTAAAGTATTTTTAACTTGTACGAAACGAATAATTCTTTCATGATAACGTTATTTTAAGTTCTTCATCTCACCCACCTCATCCACGAGGTGGTTTCGTGCTCTTGGTCAGGTTAGTAAGTGCTCTCAAAATGTATTTTTAATTTGGTTATTTAAAATTAGATAAGAATTAAAAATATGAAATTTTATATACACTGAAAATTTGAAAACAATCGGTCGCTATTTTACATAAAAATTAAGAATATAAAATACGAGTTAAATAATTTTCTTTTTATAATTATTAATTTATATATTATACTAAAATACTTTTGGGAAATTCTTTCTTTCTAAATCTTACATAATTGAAAAACCGTACATTGTTTTTAGTATACATTCTAATTTCACATGTTTCACAAAGTAAATTTTATAAAATATTATATATATGTATATATGTGTGTGTGTTATGTATGTATATTTGTAAAATAGTTTAAAAAGGATTATATGGAGGAAATCATGTAATTATTTTTAGCTGTTATCGGGTTACTTGAGACGATAGACTTGCATATTTTATTAAATAATTAAATTATTTTAATATAATAAAGGATATTATTTAATTAAAGGATAACACTGAAAACCATTATAGAAATATGTATTTCTTTATTATGGTATACATGACATAATTATTAAATTATGTATATATATCTGTATATAAATTAAACTATAACCTAATATGTATTAAAATATGTTTGCTATCTTATTCTCATTTATGAGTATTTAATTGCTCAGTTTTAAAAGGACGTATCTTATCCTTTCATTATTTACTGAATGAGAATTGAATTAACTAGCTATCTTTTACTTTTAATAATTAAAAATAAACAAAAAGTTTATTAAAATTATAATTACGCGTATTTTTAATTAGTTGATTATATGACAACTTTTAATCCGAAAACCATAGGTCCCACCCTAAAATATAATTAAACTGGAATGAAGATAAGTAGACTCTAAATTAACCCAATAAACAAGAATTCCCACTTTATACAGATTTAATTTGCATGATAATGTGTTTGAAGATTCTGTTTTAAAGTAACTGAAACCCAAGACAAGGACACGAAGAAACAAAACTTCCTTAATAAACCAACATTAAATAAGGGGTTGCTCTTTGTTCAATTTTTTAACGTACATTTATTAGGGATTTTATGGTGTGTAATTCTTTTTGTGTCTTTATTTATAACAGATGGGTTAAAATTTTCTTTAATTTTTTCTGTATATTTTATCTGTATAGTTGTCAATCTCCTCTAGTCTATACTTATATTTTTATTTCTGAATTAGATTCGGTTGTTTAAAAAACTATAAGTAGAAAAAAAAGAAACTAATCACATTATTAACTAACTCATATTTGTAACAATTTAATATTAATAAGTTATATATTATTATCAATTTTTATTTTAATTGTATAAAAGTAAAACGTAGTTCTTTTAGTGCAGTTTTGAAAACACATGAAAGTTTATTCCCACAAAGATACCTTCGGAATTTAGCCTCCAAAGGAAATAAATTAGAGACCCTTCACCAACACACATGCTTTTTATTTATTTAAATAAAATCAAAGACAACATTTATCCTGGCCCACACACTGAGGATAAAAACAAATATTAAATAAAAGCAGAAAAAGAAAAAAAAAAGGAAAAAAACCAATAAGCGGAAGGTAACCGCTGCAACAATCGGCTTCTGTTTCGGGGAAAAGAGGTTTTGGATTCGAAGAGAGAAAGAGTGAAGTAAAGTGCTGTTTCGGAACTGAAGATTAGAAGCTCTGTTACGGAACAAAAGCACTTTCCGAGTGCTCTATGGCTTCCGCTCCCGGATCTCGATCCGGCGGCAAAATTCTCCGAACGCGACGGAGCACCACCGCGAGGAACCGCACTCCTTACGACCGTCCCGCCCCGGCCGAGGCTCCAAGTCCTAACTGGCTCTCGCGTTTCGTATTGTCTCCCTCGCGTTTAATTGCCTCTGGCGCAGGGAAAATCTTCTCCTCTGTTTTGGATCTCGATAATGCTTCCCCGTCTTCTTCTTCTTCTTCTTCCTCCGCTGCTTCCTCGTCTCCCTCCTCATCTTCTAACAATTCCGACGCTGGTAATTACTGTTATCATGCAAACTTCTGGAACCGTTATACTCCCGTGCTTGAAATACTAGGGTTTCTGTCCTTTTTGGTTTTAATCTCGTTGATGTAGTGTTTTTATTTTGTTTTGACTTTTCGAGCTTGTGTGCGTTGACTCTGGTTGTAGTTGATATAGGTTTGGTAGATCTAGTATTCGAGGTAGGAGTAGTACCTTGTAAATTGTAATTATGGCTGTTTTAAAGTGCTTAGTTGGATTTGGTAATTTGTCGAAGTTGCGTGAATTGAGCTTTAAGTATATGGGTCATGGTCGCGCGTTGTTGAAAAACTAATTGTGTACGTTCTTTGGTCTTTGACATTGTTGTTGCTGTTGACCCCTACTAAACGATGTGGTTGGTGCCTAATTTTGCAGAGGAAGTTGGTACTTTCGATGATGAAAACGATAAACGGTCTGAAGGTGATGTGGCATTGAGCAAGGTAGTTGACTCTCTTTTATGTTATCCTTTGCTTGATTGAGATTTAGGCTCTCTTTTTTTCGTCTAACTAGTTATTTTCATTAAGTGTTAAAATGGTTTGTAATTCGTGTTAGCTAGTTTTTCCTTTGTTTTCTTATTACTTATGAGATTGAAGTTCTTTTACTTGTTAGGCATGCTGTGCATGTTGCCGCATGCAATCACGTATACGTTGCAAAGACATGGCATTGCTCTTAATATGACCTCTTAGACAATTTGCTGTTCCAATAACTTATGGGCCTTTGGAAGTTTTAGAAGGCTTAACTCCTTTCAAAGTATCCCCTCAAGAAATAAAATGATTAGTGAACCTTCAGGATTAAATTATCACTTTTAGAAATGCATTGGCCTTTAAAAGTATTGCAGATTGTGTTTCCATCCAGTTAGAGACAGTTTTCATATGTTTTTGTCTTCATGAGTCCCCTGGTTTTATCTGATAGCATTGCACATTTTGTATTGACATCTGCATTGAAAGGATGGAACATCAGGACTGATCAATTTTTCTGTAAAGGAGCTTCAGCCATTTGTTGGGAACAGCAAGAACAAGCATATCATTGAGCAGCTTATTCTGAAGGAATCATTCTCCAGGTACTGAAGAATTTATATTTTGACATGTGGGATGTTCTTTTGTTTTTTATTTTTTCGTCCTTTTTATCATATGGTAATATGTTGAAAGTTCTTTATATCTTTTTGTCAACAATGTAATTTTCTGTAGTTAAATAAGAAGGCACTACATGTATGCATTGTGGTTTTTGGGCTTTCTATTGTTTTTCACAGAGTTGAATTTTAAATTAGCAGTAATTTTAGCCTTTAATATGATTCTATTACATATTTATCTACCTGTATACCATGATTATAATCTAGAGTGCCTGATGGTAGTGGTCAAATCAGAAGATATTTCTGCCCTTGGTCAAATTTTGAATTTATGACAAAACTTGACAGCATTGTTTGATTTCAAATTATCGTCCAATCATGTACATAGTTGGTGATTTTAACTTGGCCTAAGTTTGGGACTTTCAAAAAATAAGCATTAACCTGGGCCACAGAACATGATCATATAACGAGTACTGTGCTGCACATATCAGGGATGGATTTGATTCCTCTAAATTGAAGGGATACAGTTTAGAAGGTGAAATGCAAAGTTATAACTGATTCAATGACTGGTTGATATTGTGGTAAAGTGCATGTGCTTGGATAACATTATGAAGTTGTTAAAATCTCAAATGTTGATTTTTCTTTTTCAATCAACAAATATCCACACTTTACCTTTTAAAGTTCACCCTTCATGTCAGAAGAGCCAAATACATTAATTATGGTACTAAAATTTTCGGACCTTGAGATATATATATGTTGTATAAACATGAGAGTGGAACTGCATTTATAAAAATTGTAAGATCAAGAGTTGAATTTTAAATGTTTGCTTGAACTGCATTTACTCTTTCCTCAAGTTGTGTGGAATAAGGTTCTAATACAGTTTAATAATTGATCAGGGAAGAATGTGACAGATTGATAAAAATAATAAGATCAAGAGTTGTAGATCCTGCAAATGATGATAATGGAGATAAGAGGCCAACAGATATACTCAGCAAGACTCCTGGAAGTGGTATTCTCTACATACAAAGCTCAGTTATAACATGTTACTGTTTCCTGACCATGGATTTTTATTTCTTAAATACAGATTCACCTGATCTCCATAGTGCTGCCATTATGGAGGCAAAAAAATGGTTGCAGGAAAAGAAGTCAGGATTAGATACAACTTCTGTTATAGGTTATGGAAGTCCCAGCTTGAATTTGTTTGCATTACCACAGGTTAGTGACTCTCTGTTTGTGGAGAAACTATACTGATTTTTGTACATGCTATCTCCTTCCCCTTTTCTCTTCACATAATTTATATCACGGTAACATGATTTCACAATAAAGGTTTGTTTTAATCTGTATGTGTGGCTGTTATGCAGGATCCCAAAGATGAAGGATCACCGGTGGATGTGGCCAAGTCATATATGCGCACACGCCCTCCATGGGCCTCGCCTTCTATAGACCACCCTAATTCTCAAACACCATCTGGTGTTCAGCTCTTCAAAGAAGAAACACCATATCTATTGGGAAACAATTCTACACCGTCCTCCAAGGTGCTATTTAATGTGTGGTTTTTACTTTTGGAAGTTGCATATATGTCACCTTTATCTTTACTAGAAATTTAATTAGAGAATTGGGTCCTACATTTTATTAAACACAGTTTATTATTATTACAGAAATTCATGAACTTAAAATTTTTATAGTTAATATAGATTGAGTATCAGACAACTGAACAAGTAGATGGAAAGGATTTATTTTATTCTTTGCAGAGTTGCGCATCATTATGTTTGGCGGTCTTCAGAAGTTGTGAAAACTGAAAAATATAATGTCTGAGGAGTTCTGTTATGGTCCATTAGTTTGGTGGTCCAATATACTTTTCCCTCTTATCAGGTTATTGTGTTATTATTTTTCCCAAATCTCTAGAAAAAAAACTCCTTGTATATCACATTAATCTCTATAACAAATTCTCCCATCTTTTCTAAATGTATTGTTAGAATTGAGAAGACAGATGGGTCTAACTATTCCCCTTGGGTTTCCAAAATCTAGTTATGGTTAAGTGGTTTGGGCTACAAATCTCATCTTACTACAACTATTGCATTTATTTCAACAAAGCAACATGAACAATGGATAAAGATTGATCTTAACTATGCAGTGTTATTAACTTTTCACACCTTACTTAAGCCTATTTTCTTTTTCTTCATAAGTAGACGTGTGCATAAGCTTGGAGTGAGACCCGTGTTCTTTATACCAATGACACAACATTTGTATGATGTGTGTCAAGAACTTAACACTTGTTGGTCCACGATAATTTGAGGGGCATATGCCTACTTATCTTGGGTGACTTAATGCTGCCTTACATTACTTTAACGAGCTCCTTCCACCATTTGCAAATGTGTAGTATTTTTTATGACCTTCGGTTTGTATTGCTTGCCACAAGAGTATGTTGCTACCTGTGATCAAATTTGGAATCATCATTAAACCCTACATTGATTTCCACATCATCTGTGCTCCTCCATATTCCTTAGAAAATAAACATGGAGACACATACTTTGTCTTTGGGGGAAAACACTTCATTTATACTGCAAAGTGATAACTCTGGATGCTCTCGTACATGTAATTCTAGAAATCATTTAAAATGTGAACATTGTCACCTCATTGGACATACCATTGATGGTTGCATGGTAGACCTGTTCACCCAATATTGCATGGACAACTACTATTGAGTCACATGTTGCTCTTACGCTACTGGTTCATCTATCTCCAACATATGAAGACTTTATCAAATGGTGTGTTACAGGCCAATCCACTAGTAACACTGCTTTGTTCAGGTGTTTTGACACAAGATGATTCATGAATGATACCCTGCGTACTACAAAAGGAATTAAGTCATGATTAAAATAATCTTGGGCATTATTAGATCTAATCCTCTTAATGCTAACACCAAATTGATTTTTTACCATTGAGAAAAATCATTGAACAACAGAGCTAACTTTTGATTTTTGTTTTAGAGGATGACCCATGTAACCCTAGTACAATCATCACTGAAGGTAATAAACCAATGAGCACCAAATACATTCAAGGACATTTGAGGGACCCCACACATAAGTATGAATTAAATCGAAGGGAGAAGTGCTCATTGTGTTTGCCAAGTTCACACACTTCACAATGAAAACTCTCCACATCTAATTTCTTAAGTAGGGAAGGAAATAGCAATTTTATGACTATAAATGAAGGACGACAATGTTGTAGAAGGACCTACTCATTGTTGATGTTTATTAAATTAAAGGAAGAGGAAAAATTGTTGCTAATATTGTGTGGTTTTGGGCAAAGATTTGTTGCCAAATAATAAAGTCATTCCATTATCTAACATGTCCAATCATCTTCCATGAATGCTTGTCCTGTAGCCTACAAAGATCATCATAAAAAGTATTACATGATATGTCTTTAATGATTTTTTTTAAATATTTTCTTATTGCTAGGGCAAGGGGTGTAGGAGGAGAAATTTATAGGTAGGGGAGTCTTGTGATTAGTGGCACCCGAGTTCATCATCCAACATTCATTATAGAATCTTTAAGACATTGAGTCCAACAACAAAAGGAGAATTTCCAAACGCACCTGAATATGAACGTGCTAGACAACAAGTACCTATTGGTTTATCAAACTTTTTGAGAAACAATCTCATTTTCTCTATTTCATCTTGATTGGGTTGAATCAATTCTCCTCTATATTTCAACAATTATGTATGCCTGCCCTCCCTTTTTGATGTTGTCTCCTTTATTTCCCACTCCTTGTTATGGTTTTCGGGAGCCCAATCTCTGTTGGGTGGCTTCCCATGAGTGTAGGATTTATTTTCCCCTATTTCAGCTGTTGTATCTGTTAGGAATCCAAGTGAGTCTAAGTCTCACATTGGGTAGAAATAAGAAAGTGGAGCACCATATAAAGGTGAAGACCCATTAACCCATTGTCTTAAGGTTTTGGGTTTTGGATTAAAAGTGATGTCAATTTCTTATGTGGTTGAGCTCAAGTCTTATTGGTGTTGTATCTTCTCAGTGAACTTCCTCCTTGATAAATCTAACAACTTGTATCAGAGCCGATGATTATTCTTGGTGACTGGCTCAACGAGTACAATGGTCTTTATATTGAAAGTCTTTCTGGCAAGAGTTCCAGTTAAGCATGTCTCATTAAAGATGAACTGTGGTACAAAAAGGGGTACTCGTGGTTGGGAAATATAAGAGTTAGTCAATGGTATAGGGCTTTAAACATTTAGTGTACCTCACGTAATTACTTCTATCAATCATTGCTGGTTCGTCATTTGGATAGATTGAGTTACATTGTTAAAATGTTGTGCTTATGGATTTTGGTTTGGGCTGATGCTGAAATGCAGTTGAAGAGGGATTCTGCTGCTACTGGTTCATGGAGTATTCAGGATGAAATTCGAAGAGTAAGATCCAGGGCAACAGAGGATTTACTTAGGACACTTCCCTCCTCTAAAATTGATTGGTCCACACTTGGCGTGGAGAATAAAAATAATGTAGACTCTTCAGCTATTGAAAACATTGGAGCTAGTTTGTCAGAGAGAGTACATAATTCTACAAATTTAGTGGATGCATCTGCTAACATGGTCAGAGGATTTGGTTCTCAGGTCTCTCCAGGTATGATTCTGCTGTTGTAGCAAGCCTGTTGGTTTATACTGATAATAAATTGTTTTATTGGTAAAACATATTTATTCCTTAAAACATATAAAGTATGTTCGTGCTTTACTCATTTAATTTCATTTCCCTTCAGATTTGGAGAGTAAACAGGATGGGTCCAAACCTGAATCTGTGCTGTCTTATCCGGTTAACATTGATTTTGAACAGAATCAGGTGCACATATGCATTGGAGTTTATATAACAGCCCCCCTCCTTTTAATACATTGAAGATTTTTTAAAGTTAAGCTCTATTTTATGCTAATACGATTTTCTTTTCTTCAGGTCTCTGTTGATGTTCAGCAGACAAAAGGTAAACTGCCGTCTATTACAGATCTATTCTGTTAGTCAAATTTGTGTTAAAATCAAGGACATTTGTTGATTATCAATGCTTTTGTTTTTGATATATTCATGAGAGTTATAATTCGGCAATTTGACACAAACATTGTTCTCTAATTGTTATTATTTTAGATCTGAGAAGTGTGATTTAATTACTTACATGTATCAATCCGTTATTGTTCTTTCTGTTAACCCGACTAGCAGACATCCTTTTTCATGCATTGTGCAATAGTTTTATTCCCCCATCTCTCAGTAGAAATTTTACTTTGCTTATGGAAATCCATGCCACATAGGTACGCAAGATGACAGCAGAGAAATAACTACTTCGGGACTTCAAGATGGGTCCTCAAGTGATATGTACAGGTTTGAGTATTTCTATCGTATCACTTATGAATGAAGTTGTGTTTGTCTGTTTATTCAGGTTAAGTTTTTTTCTCATTTACTTTCTAATAGTACCTTATTCTCGATTCCCATTTCCAACTGTCTTATTATGAGGCATTTAAGGTCCTTAAATTGTTTGATATGTTCACCAACTTTTTGACATTTTCTTTAGGCTGATATTTGGAGTGTTTAGCTTTCCTTAATTGCAAAAATTACCCTTAGTGTGCGACACTGTTTGAAACTGATGACTGTCTTGACTAAAGAGCTCTTTGACGTTCCTGGCATTTGATTATTGTTGACCAACCTAGAAATTTTGCAAGTCTAGACACCGTACCCCTTGCAAACTGACAATAACAGTGACAAACTATGTTGAGTTTAATCCTGTCAATGTTTTTGTTACCAAGAGTCCCATGTGCGTAGATCTAGACAAGCTTTTTGTATGAATTCTGGTCCTGTATATTATTTGTATTCTAATCGTAGCTTTTCTTTGAATGTTAAACAGGGGTGACGGACTGGTTAAAGTCAATGGCATCAATGACACAAATAGGCCAGGTCATCAGCTAGACTCAGTTGAAGAAACTAAAGAAGGTATGAATCAGTCACTTTGGCTATCTTATGATTAGAAAACATGCTCAGTTGATTTAATGTGTTATCTGACAACTTGTAGTCACACTTGTTAAAATGCTATTTGCGAGACGCATTATTAGTGTTTAGCAATGTACCATGAACCATTGCACAATGCTAAGGGTTCAGCTTTGCAACCCTTCTGAGTTCTCGTTTAGCTAGGGTATGCTATGCATATGTTACTCATTTTCATGAGGATGTATGTACATAGATCAGGGTGGTAGTCTACGAGACCTTGCTTGGTTTTGTAGATCATGGTGTTTTCCTTTTGTTCGATTATGATAAATTTCTCCTTTGTGATCTGGAGTTTAATATTTTATTCAATATTCTCAATTTTGTATTCATCTTATATGCTGATCCTTCATTTAAATGCAGCTACAAATTCTAGATTACAAGATAGTAACCACTTAGTAATCAAAGAGAAGGTTGGAGCAGAAGATGAATTGGCAAATGGGTTCCCCTCTTCAGAGCCAAGGTAAATTTTGGTTCACAGGCTTTTCTTTGATGTTGAACTTTCTTAAAGTAAAACCTATTTATATATAACCTTGGTGCCTTTTACTTTTAGTTGATCAGTGGAATGTAAAATTTTGGGTTAAATTATACTTTTACTCAGTACTAAGTTCAAATTTCCAAGAAGCCTCGATTCTCAGTTGCCAACCTTATTCCATTGCGAAATTTAGAATGAACAATTTTTGTAATTGACTTGAAATATGTGGGAACATCAACTGACTTTTTCCCCACCTGTCTGGGAAAAGAAATGCTGGTCTTCGTTTCTTGTTATTACAGTTATCAAAATTAGTAAATCTAAATTAATTCTGCCATTTTCCTGTTTGCTAGTTTCAATGCAGCTCAGGTTACTGGACAGAACACAAAAACATTGGAGTACAAGGAACTCAATACAAATGATTCAAGTCAGGAAAGGACAGCTCAGGTTGTTCTTGAGCAAGAGGCTTGCAAGACATTGCGTGAATCAATGGACGTGCCTGATGTAATTGGGGACGCTGACGGTGTTGCCTCTGGTTCGCAGAACAGTTCCAGCTTGTACGAGGTTCATCAAGATACTTCCCAGCTGGTTGTCGAATCAGGTTTGCCAGCCACACCAACTAGCATTGCTAAGCAAAAGGGAAGAAGAGTGACAGCCACATATAACAGCAGAAGGAGCAGGAGCAAGGGTGTCAAATGATGCCCATTGTTGTATTTTGTATCTTAAATTGTAAGTTACCATTAGCTTAGAAAGTAGGGATTATGCAGGACCGTGAGATTAATTATATTCAAGAGTATATACGTCTACTTAGACAGGTTTATTTTTTCTTTAATTTGTTCTTTCTTGTCTGTTTTTTGGGGTGATTATTACGTTCACGGAAATCTGGTTCTGGAATTGGAATGTATTTGCTGTATAAATGGTTAAATAGCGACATTTTTTAACCCTGGTAAACGAATCTCTGGAACTTTACACTCACTCGAACTAGTTTGAGTTTCATTAAAGGCATTTGCACCAATCGTTTGACTCTACAGAAGGTAAGAAAGGAGGGTGGATAAAAAGAAAGTAAGAAAATTGTATGTGATTTTTTTTTCTTTGTTACGAGAAGGAAAGGGAAAATGTTTATTTGCAATGATACAGAGTATTTTTTTGTCAATGACTAATAATAAGTTCGATTTTCAGAAAATTCAATGAAAATATTTTGCTTGATAACTTATTTTAAAATTACTACGTAAGACATATAAAGAATATTTAGTCTTCATTTGCTTTTAGTGATGTATTGTAAGAGAGGATGAAAAAGAGAGAATTAGAGAGGATGATGTCTGTTTGTGGGCTGCTATTTCCTGAATCTCACGTTTTTCTTCTCTCATCTCATAAAAGCTGTAATTCCCAAATTATCATCGGTTAAAAATAAAATAAAAAAGTTAACACTTTTTTTATTTTTATTATCTTTTGAATTAAATGTTTGGAAAGATATTTTTAGATTTAGAAATACTTTTTGGAATATTTAATGCAGAATATAAAAAAGAAAATTGGAATGAGGGTTCTGGAACATATTTCTGGAACAATAATACTTTTTGAAAATGTTTTTATATTTGTTGGACAAAAGGGAAGTGGATAAAGGAGTGCATTAAGGTTTCTTTTCTTTTTTCTTTTTAATAGTGGATGCTATGGTGGTTCAGATTGGATTTTAGATGCTCGTCCAATACATATTTTTTGGTGGATTAACTTTTCAATTTTAGCTAAAAGTGATTATATCAAAATTTAGAAAAAAAAAAGTAAAATTGCCGAATGTGGTATATATACCTTAAATAATGTGCTAATTACATAGGAAAATAGTAGTAAACTTAGATGGATATTATCGAACTAAACCTTAGAGAATGTACAACTAATTTACCATTTATATAAGATTTATTTGTAGTTCACCATGTACACTAAAATACAAAAAAGAAAATATCATTTACTCTATTGTATGATTGATCATTTTAAGAAAAAAGCAATTAAAAAAAATGAAATGTTGTATCATAGATTATTTGATAATGATAATCATTAAATGTGTGCTAAAACTTATATTAATTGACTTAAATGATTAAATCATACTCATAATTAATGACATATACATTTCTGACTTTCATGAGTTAAAAATAAACTGATGAATATACTTTTACAAGATAAAATTGATTAATTTAACTTTTATCTATTTAACCAACACAGTGTAAATTTTCGCCCAATGTGATTAAACTATATGTTTATTTAATTATTAAGTTGAAACTTTTGAATGTTAAAATAACTAATTATGCACCTACACACACTTTTACCCATCATTTCAAAAAATATAATCCCATTTTTTTATTTTTAAAATTAAAATAATATTATAATTAAATTAATTCATAGCGATTACCATTTTAAAACACATAAGCATTCATATTTTTTTATTCTTTTCTTTGTGCACTCTAAGTCACAAAAACTTCACTTTTTTTGTTTTTTATTTTTATTTTTTCTTTCACTTTTCTCTCCTATATTTTGTTTCATAGCATCTAAATAAAACTTAGTAGGTAGTATTTCAACAAATATATAATTTATACTTTAATTACTTTGTCAAGAATAATTGGCCTAAATAACTTAAATTAACCCAATTAATTCTATTAAAGATGAACAATATTATAATGTGATTATTAAAAATATGTTTATTTATGAAACATGATTGAATCATCCTAACTTTATGAGAAAAAAGTTGAAAAATTATTTTACACATTTATATTTTAAAAATATATTAAATATGTTTTTTTCTCCTCAAACTATTTATTCAAATTATATTTTATTTCAGTTTCAAAGTATTAATTTTATATTTTATAGTTTATAAATAAATGTAAAATATTATTGACCAATAAAAATAGTTAACCATATTAAATTTTTTCTTTTATTTTTGTAATTCTCTCCTTGTTGCTCCTATCTTTTTAGTGGTGGTGGAGGCTATGGTCGTAACAATAACTACAAGGGATAGTGTGGATGTTTAATATTATTTGAAATTCAAATATCATATATGTTAAAAGAAAATATTTTCCTTTCGAGACTTGACCTTTTTCTCATTCATGTTTTTTTTTTCATTCTATTCCTATTTGTCTAATCAACTTCTCCATCACTTACTTTCGTGTCTTGATCATTACATACTATCGTCTCTCATTTCTTCATAATTGTTCGTTGTTTTATCTCTCTAACTATTCTTATTGTTCTTCCTAGTATCATCTTGTTAAAACTCTTTTTCACTTCTTCCTTAATAACAAATATTTACTAACCTTTATAATAATTGTCGTAATCATTCTTATAACCACCATTATCATGACTATTATAAGCTGAGAAACGTTCTTTGTGAACACTAGTTTAAGGAATGTTATAAGTAAATTACATAAAAAAAATACGAGTCTTAGATAACTCCTAGTATTAATTGATCAATGAAAAATATTTCTCTTTCTCACATAGGAGAATTGTTTTCTTTTCTTTCCTGCTCACCAGTTTGGACAAGATATCCGCTCAAGTGTTATCCTAATGTGTTTGATGTTCACCACTTCAAAGTTCTTCTTTAGTTTTGTTATTTTGTAAAAGTATTAAAGGAGCTAGTCATCTTTAATTCGAAAATTTTTATTCATTTGTGATATCATTAGTTAGAAGTTGGTTTGACACTTCAAAATTCACTATAAAGAAAATCATAACGAGAAGAAAGAGTTTCAAGAGGAACAAACTTTTAACAACATTATAGTTTATATTTTTTTTATATAATGTAGAGATTAAAGTAGTATATATTTTTGAAATTACGAAAAACAATTTTAATGAAAAATTCAAAGAGAAGAGACATGTTTAACCGGTTTGAAAATAAATATTAATTTTACACTTTATAAAAATAGTAAAAACATTTGGATAAATAACTAATTATTCACACGATTCCAAGTGCTTATAATATGTTAAAAAAAAAGGTTTAATGTCTCAATAGGTCCTTATTTTTGTTCAGAATTTGAAATAGGTTTCTTTATTTTTTGGCGTCTCAATTGGGTCCTTATTTTTGTTAATTTGATGCAAATAAATTCTTTCCGTCAATTTCATCAAACGGGCGTTAATGAATGTGTGACGTGGCCTGAGGACAGTATTGACACGTGTAAGGCTATGTTACACATTCATTAACGCCCTTGATTAAATTGACGGAAAAGATTTATTTGTATCAAATTAACAAACAAAGATAAGAAAGGACCCAATTGAGACGCCAAAAAATAAAGAGACTTATTTCAAATTCTGAACAAAAATAGAGACATAACGAAACATTAAAAAAAAAAAAAAAAAGCGATATATGCTAATTCCAATGAAAGCGTAAATTGGAGAGTAGAGTGACAGCAAAAGAGAGTGCGATAGTGAAGAGAGAAAAAAAAGCGGTTTGGTCCAACGCAAGGCAAAGAAATGGAAGGGTTGTCGTCTTCAATGGCGATTGCGCAGAAAACATGGGAGCTCGAGAACAACATCATCCCCATGGACACTCCGGGAGCCGCCTCATCCTCCTCCGCCGCAACTGCCACCAACGCCGACGACTCTATATTCTACTACGACGAGGCCGGGCAGAATGAGTTCCAGCGCGACAAGCCCTGGGCCAATGACCCTCACTACTTTAAGCGCGTCAAGATCTCCGCACTCGCGCTACTCAAGATGGTCGTCCACGCACGCTCCGGCGGAACTATCGAGGTCATGGGCCTCATGCAGGGAAAGACCGATGCCGACGCCATCATCGTCATGGACGCCTTCGCTCTCCCCGTTGAAGGCACGGAAACGCGCGTTAATGCTCAGGCAGATGCGTACGAGTATATGGTCGATTATTCCCAGACAAATAAACAGGTTCCTTCTCCTAAACCCTAGCACTAACCCTAATTCGAATTTATTTTTATTGATCTTTTTTTTTTTGCAGGCTGGAAGGTTAGAGAATGTTGTGGGATGGTATCACTCTCATCCTGGGTATGGGTGCTGGCTGTCGGGGATCGATGTTTCGACGCAGATGCTGAATCAGCAGTTTCAGGAGCCGTTTCTGGCGGTTGTGATTGATCCCACGAGGACTGTTTCGGCGGGGAAGGTTGAGATTGGGGCTTTTAGGACTTACCCCGACGGTTATAAGCCTCCGGATGAGCCCATTTCTGAGTATCAAACTATCCCTCTCAATAAGATTGAGGACTTTGGTGTCCACTGTAAACAGGTCTCTTCTTTTTCTGCTGTTGGCCAATTTTTATTTATAATCACCCTTCCTTTTTTTTAGTTTTTGTTCAATTTCATTTGTGTGCTTTGCAGTATTATGCCTTGGATATCACTTACTTTAAGTCATCTCTTGATTCACATCTCTTGGATCTTCTGTGGAACAAGTATTGGGTGAATACATTGTCGTCTTCTCCTCTGTTGGGTAATGGAGATTATGTTGCTGGACAAATCTCTGATTTAGGTACTATTTCTGCTTCAGTATTTATATATTGATTTATTTATTTATTGTGGACTAGAATGGTTCTGCAGTTCTCTTTATAAAATGTTGTGTATTTGATAAGGCTATGTTTTGAAAGTATGAGTGTCTAAGTTGGAATATTCCTGTTGCAGCTGAAAAGCTAGAACAAGCAGAGAATCAGTTGGCACACTCACGCTTTGGGCCACTAATAGCACCGACACCTAGAAAGAAAGAGGTGTGTGACTGTTTCTATTCAATTTACAAAATTTCCATCCATTTATTAGAAGTTCTTTATCATCGTATTGAGGTTTCATTTGGATTATTGAAAATTTTCAGAACAGTCTTTTTGATGATGAAATTCTTTCTGGGTGATTATCTCCCATCTAATTCATGTTGTATGCAAGTTTTGATATGCGTCTACTTGTTGAAATTTTGAAGCTTATTTCTAACAGTTAGCTGTTAGAATATAGTGTACCACAACATGCCTTTTCATTTATCAGTCTTTAAACCGTAGGGAAGAAAATTTGAGACAAATACTGGATAATTAACCACACTAACTGTAATACTTTTGCTAATGAGTTTCTAAACAGCTTCCAATTTCATTCACCAACGATGCCACATTGCCATGTCACAAAATTAGGTCCCTAATTCCAAATAGTTTTCCTCTAAGATCGTAATTATATGTGTTGGCACTTACTGAAATGATTAACATACAGAATTGCCCAACATACAGCTTTGCTGAGTCTGGAGCTGACCCATTTTTGACTCATTGGCCTGGTGGGGGTTGGTTAGACTGTCCATTTTGACACCTGTACCTACATTCAACAGAAGAGTTGTTTGCTAGGTAGTCAGAATTGATATTTCACCCAAGATTATAAAAGGAAGTATGGATTGTAAATCGGTATATTGTCACAAGGATAGTAAGATCTTACTAAATTTGTGGAACTCATATATGCACACGCAATTATTATCCGACAATGGTATCCATCTTTTTAATTTGTTTTGAATATAGCATTGTTCTATGGACCTTAGGAACAATACCCTTTGGCCTATTCACTAGGAAGTTTATCATTGTCCTTCTTTTCTTATCATTCCAGCCTTCAGTTATAATCGTGCATTTTGTTTTCTTCCGTTCATCCCTTTTGTGCTTGTAAAGCAATTGCTGCATTTTTTACTTACTTTCAAATATTGGACTCTAATCTCATGATAGGGTGGAGGTGTAAATCCAAGGCCATGCCTTATAGACAAATCAAACATAGCACTAAATTGTTCACTCTTTGGCACATTGAAAGGTATATCATTGTTGTAGACAAACCTAGCAATTTCTTTACATGCTTCCTCTCTCACAACTTAAACACGGTGTTAACTGTGGCTGGCGTGCTTACTACTTAAAATTATTTGTAGGACTGTCAGCATCAAATGTTTTGTTGTTTTTTCTTTTCTCACCAGCTTCTGCACTGTTCCCCTCCTTATTAAGGCTTGGTTTCTTGAACAAATTTTGTTACAAACCAACAACAATTTCACAACTCCTTCTTCACTTCATCAATAACACCCTTGCATGCTACAATATCCTTGTGAGTACCAGCAAAGTGGTGCTTCAACTGATAAACTCTTGTTTTTATCACCTTCTAAAAGTATTTGAATTGAAGTTTCCTAGTAGCCCCACCAACTGAAGTACTATGCTTCCAAGCTGTATCATTCCTATTTTTTGGAGCCATGGGTACAGAGGAGCTTGAAGTCTTTTCAATGATTGGGGAAAAACGTCTGACAAGGATGACTAATAATTTGCTGTGAGATGCAATTTGGTTCATTGTAAAGGAAGAGCAGAGTGGTATGCCGCAGTTCAGTGGTAATAAACAAAGAGGGAGAAAGATGGAATGGAATGGGAGTGAGTAGAATTGATATTAAATAGCCAAAGGGAGAGAAAAATGATTTGTTTTTTGGTAAAGGGAGAGAGTAGCATTGGCAGCATATTTTGGCCAATGGAGAGCAGTATGCACAACATTTTTTATTTATAGAAGAGAGGCAGTCATGACTCAGCAGTTTTTAGGCATTGATTTGTGTCGGGTTACTTGATTGTTTTTAGGTAATGGGGTGAGCTGGGTTAAGTAATTGGGCTTTGAAGGAAAAAATGGGCTTAAATTCTGGGTCATAAAATCGGGTCATGCAACCCAACTCAAGAAAATAACCTAGAAATAGGGAAGGGTAGGTGCTATGAGAGGCACCACAAGGTGTGCTGAGACCACAAGCGGCTGTGCAATGAGTGTTGAGGACCGCAACAACAACTGCTCCCACACTTGTGAGAAACAGCAGTCTTACTTGAGTTGATCTGCAATGGCAATCCGATGTGATCCATAAAAATCACGACCTTGAGGTGACTTAAGATTGGGGAGGGAGGAGTAGATTGTAGGCACATTTGATCTCATGCTCCAGAGAGCAATTTTTGACTACCTTGGTTGTGGTTTCATACCAAATTTCATTTTAGTATTAAAGTCATACATGTCATGGATGGATTTTCTCACACGTTTTGTAGCTCAACTGCTATGTCAGCATCAAGATGTTCATGCCTGCGAGAGTGTTTCTTACCTTACATGCCTGCAAGATGCTAATTGCCCTGCCAGTTTTGGTGTTGGAAAACTTATTCTAACTCTTTCCTTTTAAAAAACTTCCAATATAAATATATTATGGTGGACAGACATCCTAATTATGTTCAACAATTCAAATTAATTTTGCTTAAATTTTAAAACAAAAAATCCTAAATGGTGGTAGTAGTTCCGTATCAACATCTTTTTTTTT